TAGCTCCTAGACGCTTTGACCTTTCGTTTTGAAATTTTCACTAATGATTGACAATGTGTTTATCTTCAAAACGCCGTCGGGGCATTGTTTTTAGTTGAATAGTGTTAAAGCAATCCTACAGACAACTAGCCTGGGTGTTAATTTATGCATAAACTTGAAGTAGTGAAATTTGAGCAGCTGCCCTACAAAATTGACAACTCGTAGACAGTTTTCAAGATGGCACTTTCTTCATAGTAAACAGATGTACCCACAAACAAATTTTGACAGGAAACAGAAGCATGGTTTAGGAACTATTTTTTTAAATCACTTTTGACCAAAAAAGCACATTTTTGTGCATATTTCACACTACAGTGTCCATAAAAAATACTAAAACATTTTTAAAATTCATAAAATAAGCTTTCCGAAAATATATAGTTTTGTGGACAAGGGAGGTCATCTTGGTTTCCTAATTAATTAATTAAAATATCTGTCAGGTAAACTGCATCTCTACCTTAAATGGCAATCGGTCAACTTGAATCAAAACCTATAATAATGTATTTGAAGGCTATCACATACCAGAGATGTGGTTTAATCCTGCATCAAGGTATCGTCAAGTGAACAAATCACATGCACCACAGATACAAATGTTACAACTATTTTGCATGCCAGTCAGTTGTAAAACAATTCGTCACATGTTAACATAAAATCAAGGACGTCATCGGACTTAAGTGTAACACATCGACTCAAGGCGTGAAGTGCGCCAAATAACCAAACCAAATAACCGAATAATCAAACCAAAACCTAACCTAACCCTAACCAATTATAACCAAATGTGTTAGCTCTTTTGGAGCTCTATTGGGTAACAAATACAAAATGCTTTTCGAACCCTGGCCAGAAAGGCACGCCCAAATATTTTTAATTTCACCTTCCGGTGCCGGTTCCGGGTTTTTAGGCAACCTATTTTAACTGTCAACTATCACCGTTGCAAAAATGGTTGAAAACTCTCGGAAAACTGTACTTTTGGTTAGTTGATGAGATCCTCCGGAACAGTTTAACAAGATTATACATATATGCGCAACATATATCGTGAAACGTAGAACATTCTGTGACATAGCTACGTCCCTCAAGGCATTACGATTTTCACTGGAATTTACAGGTATGTAAGCGAGTGATATTTTGTTTGTAGTATCATAAGAAAATCTAATTATTACCTTCCTGGACTGACTGTATCAAGCTCTTCTGTAGATAAAAAAACAGAAACAAGTCTATGAAGATCAAGAAAGTACAAGTCAACTTGGTTTCTTATACGAACATATTCATCAAAAAATTTGTAATATAATATCATGCACCAAATGCATGCTTTGAGCGCCCACTCAGTGTCATGTAAAGTCAGTATATCAGATTACAGTTGGACATAATCATGTATAATCTAAGAAGACAAAGTAACTATTGTATTCACATATAATATGTACACAATGGCATGCCATGCAGCACTACATTAAGAAATAACAAGTCATTGTCAATGTTTTAGTGACTTTATCAAACTATGAAAAGCATAGTCAGATTATGTTTAAATATTGAGATAATATTTAGCATATTAACTGTAAATGAGCATGAAACGGGTATAAAGACCAAATTTGAATGAGGCATGCACAAGAAATGACGGACAGAAGGTTTCAAGTGACAGAAAAAAGTCAGCAATTTTTTTATCAATTTGCAAAGCTGATTTTCAGCAGTCGCACATATGCTCAGTAGACGTGCTCGAGAAATGATACAGACAAACAGCAACAAAACAAACGGGGTTAAACTTGGCCAAAGGCCGTTTAAAACCAGTTTAGAGACTCAATTTAGTACAAGGTCTAACACTTGGTCTTGGCTTATCAAAGATTAGGTCCTGAACACAAGTTTACATTCCATTGTTCAATCATATAAAGGCTTCATCCATGTACTTACTTCATTCACACCATCGTTGTGACAACACACGTTGGACTAACTTTCAATATAGTTGCGAAATGAACTCAATTAAAGCTCGTTTTTATATAGGATTGCGTTTCAATTGGAATTTAATTAAAATAAAATAAATTCAATGCAATTAAACAATAAAGAGAATTGTTTTTTAATAGAAGTTCAATATAATTGAATATTATGTGACTTAACATGGAAATGTTTACAAAGCTCGGGTTTAGTAACGGGATAGCTTTGCAAACTTGACTTGAATTCGACTAAATATTGATTAAACGTTGAAAACATAGTGAGGTGTAAATATGAATGAAAGTCCTGACAACGTTGATACCATGCACGCACGTACAAACGCATACTGACAG